TTTCTCTACATGTTCACATCAGAGTTGAGGCTGAGGTCACTATATTGTAGCTATTCTTACCCCAGTGCTCATCAGAAGTGAGACATTTAGAGTGTCCTTCAGTCCTCTGGTCTTCTTGCTCAGAGAGTTAGCTGCCACTAACGGGGGTGCTTCATTAGTGTGTTGACCCAAGAAGAGGCAGGTCATCTTATCCTGGACACTGACTCACGAACCCTACACCCCCCACCCCCCTCAGTCAGTGGCACGAGTAGTCCAGTCCCTCTGTGACATCTTTAATCCAGCTTAATGCTAGCGCCAGTGCTAAAGGGCTAACGTTTTAACGTTAATTCTTAGCTGCCCAGACTAGGGCTTAAGCAGAGGTCATTCGCTCTTCTTCTTTTCGAAATATCATGCTGAAAAAAAGACATTTTTCCTGCCTTCTTAGTTCTTACTAGAGAGGAACTGATATGGAATTTCTGGGCCAATAATGATAACTGGCTATTAACACCTTGTGACCAATACAGATATCAGTGCCAAGTTCACATTAAAATCCATATAATCCAGGAATGTAATTTTAGCAGTCGTGCCCTAAATATAGCATTGAGGTGCTGAGTTGTAGGGATGCCAAGTTGTGGTTGTAATTATCAGCTGAAATGACCATATTGGACCAATAATAATTACATTTTTCAATTTATATTATTCCCTTATAAAGGAGGAGGAGACAGTTCAATTCTCAAAAGATGGTATTTGTTTGTGGAGAAAGTACCTCCCTTTAATAAAATGACCCAGTTGGCTTGCTGGTTAAGCGGCAGGTGGGAAAAGCATGCACAGTTGCCAGAACAGCCTTAAAAATGTGTTTTCTTTTTTTTGTTTTTGACCCAAAGGGTACAAACTATTTATACTGTTTGTCAGATTAAATCTGTATTTTTGAAATATTATTATTGTTGCATTCAGTTTCAGGTTTACAGGTCTCTCTCCATTCAAGGAGCATGGTCTTATATAGCTGGAAATAGCTGCCCGGGCACATTGCCAAGATGGCCATCAAGCGGACAGACTTTCCTATAAGGACTTTGGAATAACTTAACCAGTTTGCATTGTTTTCTGTATAATTACTGCATAATAAGACTTAGGATGTAATAAGCCTGGGATTTTAAGGGGTTTATAATATACAGGCTGCCGACATATCATTCAGCCTTACTTCTTATCATGGACTAGCCGTCTTACAGTGGAGCAGACTGAAAGGCCTGAAAGCAACAGCAGCTGGTTAAAGCCTTTCCTTAACAAGAGTGTGCAAAAAAAAAGAAACGAGTTGAGCGTTTTTCCACAGTAAATTGGGTCAGCACATCTGAATATAGCATACAAATTATTGCAGAAGATTAACAGACATGCAATCCTTATTGTTTTGTGGGGTTAATCTATAAACGAGCTTCGGGAGAGTTTTGTGGAGGTTTGTGCGTTGCAACACACCAGCGGCCGCTAAGCAGGAGGGGACCCCTGCATGACCTTTAATTTGAAGCCTTGTGCTCAGACAAGACCTCAGTCGCACCAGTTAGCATGGACTGATGCGTGCACAAATCTCAGCCGCAGGCGAAGAGAAGGCTGCTGTGAGGAGAACTGATTTAGAACTGCCTGACTGCCTCTTCATGTGACACATCAACTATCGGCAAGGCATAGGTTCAAAACGTTGGAAATGTTGCATGTCTCCACATCTCATGGTTCCCTCCATAAGCTCTGTGTGTTTTTTTGTTAGAGAGAAATCCTTTTATTTTTGGAGGAAATAAGAAATATAATAAGGAATGAGGGGAAAGCGTGCTTCATTGATTTTTCTGTTGTGCAAATGAGGCCGAGGGAAAAGAAAAATGAGAATTGGAAAACGAGTCAGCTCCACCTGATTAAGGTTGTATATTTTTGTTTGGCTTTGCATGTGTGCATTTGATTTTGGCCGGCAACGTTAACGTGCACACGAGGGCTCAGGTTTTTCTGCTGATCCTCTGGTTTTTGATGGTAGACACTGAAAGGCATTTCTCATTCTTTAAATTTTGAGATTCATTCTCTTGCCAGTGGAGGATTTTTTTTTTTTTTCATTACTGCTAAAATATTGATGCGGCCAAAAAATTGTATATTTTCAGAGCGTTCATTTTATTTGACTTCAGGAAGATTCACAATGGGGAGAGAGAGAAAGGGAGGTAGAGAGAGATGCAATATAGACGGTCTTGCATCCGGTTTTACGACAAATACTTAATGAAAAACCCCACGGGGGTGATAGAACCCTGTATTTAATTAAGGGTTTATAAAATATTTAACAGGAGGGACAGGGAGGGGAATTTTAGCTCTCTGTCCATTTCTGTTTGGAAACTGGCGGGCTGCAGTAGAGGGTGAATGATAATGGAGAGAGAGAGTGAGAGAGCAGAGAAAGAGAAAGATGGCTGATGGTGCTATGGGGTGTTAGATCAAGGAAAATGGCTCTCAGTGACATTAGGAAAAAGTCCAGGCAGATTTATATGGTCTTTTGAAGTTCACTCTTAAATTCCCATGTTCTGTCTTACCTTTAGCAGTGGGTCAGAAGAAACTGAGGGGATAATTTGAGGCTCTTTTTTGGATCACCCCCAGTTCTGCAGTAAGTCTGCAGTTAAAGCTCTGGAGGAGAACTACAAGGCAGAAACGGAGAGAGAACTGGGCCATAGTCCCCAACGGTACTGTAGTGTTCGTCTCCACAGCACAGACAGTTGTGCGAGATTTGGAGATCTAAAAAACACACTGGACTTTTATAAAACACAGAGGTAACGTTGTAAACATTTGGTCCTGAGAGAAAGAAGCTTTACATCTACAACAGCTTACAATCCAACATAGGATTCAAGGAGCAAGAAGCAAAGCTATGAATCATAGGAGAAGGATAGTTTTACAGTATAGTTTAACCGTTGGAACATTTATTTATCTGTACTGTTTAAATCTAATTACCAGGGCTGTAAAATTATTAAAAATATTATTATCATGAATAACTTTTCTTATTTGCTCACTTTTGAAAGTACGACTTTTTACAGCTATATGAGCTTCATAAGCTTCATTAAGATGTACTTATTACTTTCAATAATTCAATTTCAACCTCAACATAAAATTACATTAAAATTACAGACTGTAGTCCATCTGTTTCTCTGTATAATTTGTTAGCCCCCTTTACTTTGTTCTTCAGTGGTCAGGACCCCCACAAGACAACCACAAGAGCAGTTCGATCTTTCTCAGCACTGCAGCACTGACATGTGTTGACATGCTGACATGTTAGTGTGTGTTGTTCTGGTATGAGTGGATCAGACACAGCAGTGCTGCTGGAGTTTTTAAACACATCAGTCACTGCAGTGCTGAGAATGATCCACCACTCAAATAATGCCTGCTCTCTGGTGGTCCTGGGGGGGTCTTGACCATTGAAGAACAGGAAAACAGATGCAGATGGACTACAGTCTGTAATTGTAGAACTACAAAGTTGACCTATATGGTAAGTGGAGCTGAAAAAAAAGATAGTGATTGTAGATACAAGGAGTTGTACTTAATGAAGTGACCACTCGGGGTAAGGTTGAACAACATAGGGTTAGCAACAGTGGCTGCATGTTCCAGCTCCTTCATGGTTGTGGCTCCGCGCTCTCATACTGCTGCCATACATCTTTTTTGAGGAGAACTGAAGATTTCAGTTTTGCTATTGCTTGTGTATGTTTGCAGGTTGTTAATAAGCATATGAGTTCCATACAGTGAACATAGTTTCTAATTTTTAATCGCCAATGTGTTCTAATTACTATGTGTACATACATATAAAAATAATTATACCATCAGTGGTTCTAACTCCTCTGAGGTTGTAGGTACCTGCTCTTGTTCATTCTTGTTACAGTGGACACTCTTGAGTGGTGCTGGAGTTCTCCACTTCGTAGTTGCTTTCTTTAGTTTGCTGCTGATTTTTATCTGTAGGTCTCCCACAAGCACTGTCCAGCGCACTCTGTTGAAGGTATAACCTTAAAAGCAGTTTAAAAGCTGTATTTGAATTGCAGGGCTACAACTGCACAGTCACATTGCTATACAGTGTGCAAACAGCTGGGCTTCAGCCAGGAGTATGGACAGTTTAAAGTGTCAAAACAGGAAAATGTGTTAATGGTGTTAAAAACATGATTAATGTTTATAATTTATCACATTAACACATTATTAACATGTTAACTTTGGAGGCCCTAATAATTACCTAATTACAATTTCACTAAGTAATGAGTTACACAGTTAACTACATTTATGTTCCATTTTTTTATTTGTTTCAATATTAAGCAATGGCCACAATGTCAAAAATCAAATTCAATTTTCATCAAATTCAAATCATTTTTTGAATTTTGAATTTGATGAAAACTTTTAGGAGAATTTTTCCACTTTTTTGATGAGAAGTAATTGGTATCAGCTTTACTGTACTTTTATTTCAAGGAATAACCCAAATACTGCTTCTAAGGGTTCATATCATTTTTTTATGTATCTATTTGGTAAATCGGCCTCTGTGTAGAAGCTTTTCTTGTTTTTTGTTTTTTTTTTTGAAACTTTTACTTTCATTTAACACACAGTGAAGTGACAAGAGGTTTTGGTGACACTTTATTTTGAGTGGTCCTTTTAGATGAAACATTCAATGGACTCTCAGTAACATGTCAAAAACATATGAGGGTTAGGATTAGGTTTTGGGTTGAGGTTAAGGTTAAGGTTAGGATTAGGGCCAGAGTTAGTGTTAGGTTTTGGGTAAGGTTGGGTGAGGTTAGGTTTGGCGTATCAGAAGTAACATATTAACATCTACTTAATGTAATTAATGTGTCAACAGAACATCTACAAGATACTCACTTCAGTGTATTCAGATGCTTCACTACTGCTACTTCACTGATATGTTGTTGATGTGTTACTGATAATCTGTTAAGAGTTTATTAATCATCTACAAGGGACCACTCCAAATAAAGTGGTACCGAGGTTTGCACCCATCTCTTTCCTTACACCAATCTCACTTTGACCGACAGATCCACTCAGATTCAGATGAAGGCGATGGCTCTATCAAGTACACCATATCTGGAGAAGGAGCGGGGACTATCTTCATCATTGATGAGGTGACGGGAGACATTCACGCCACTGAGCGACTGGACCGGGAGGAGAAAGCCTTCTACACGTTACGAGCTCAGGCTCGAGACCGTCTGACCGACGCTCCACTTGAACCTGAGTCAGAGTTCGTTATAAAGGTCCAGGACATCAACGACAGCGAACCCAAGTTCTTGGAAGGGCCATACATTGGAAGTGTGGCTGAGCTGTCTCCGATTGGTAAGATATTTGTAGACCATTATTCAGAGAACTCCTGACTTATTGACTCACACTCACTGTTCTTTCAGGAGGTGTGAACTGAGTGAATTTTCATTACAAATGTGCCTGTGCAGGATTGCAGACTGCATGTTGAAAGTTTGGGGACAAGTTGTCTTCTTTTGAAATTTGAATTTACTTACTATTCGGTTTATTAAGGAAAAATAATGGCAAAAAAAGATTGTCTTAACATACAACATCTACTTTCTAGTACATCTGTATGTCCTGTATTTTACAACACCTGGTATAATGTTAATCATAGCATCCTCCTTGGTATGAAGAGACAGTTTTGACAACAAAGGCACCAAAAAACTTCTTTGGAATGAAGCCTTTGAGGAACCACTTTTGGTTTCCTAAAGAACCTTTTTCAATGAATGGCTGTATTTTTGCAAAAGAGCCATGAATGTGGAGAACCTTTTTAAACTAAAAGAACGTCCACAAATGTAAAGGTTCCATACCATTGAAATATTCTTTCAAGAACCATACATTCTAGCCAAGAACCATTTAAGGCATTTTTCTGCTGAACAAAGTACTGGAACATTTGGCACCAGAAAACTGCAACTGTGTTTTTCCACTGGCCACTGGTCCACTACTGAAGGTTCCAGTTTTATGGTTTTTGGTACCTGTTCAAGATTGGTATCAACAGGACCTAGTGGCGCTCGAGAATGTTCTTCTCTGTCTTTGCTAACACAGCTAAAGCCAACAACAACTGAGCAAATTATTTACTTGTCTAGGTAAGAATAAAGCACTATTACATGATCATTGAGAGCACCAGGTCCTAAGCTAGCGTGGTATGTTAATGTATCAATTGCTATTTTTAGAATTTATATTTTGTAAAGAGTACCACAAGCTAGAAACTAATGCTACATTTTATGCTAGCCTCCACACAAGTGCTCTTATTTTCACCCCTGACAGAACAAAAATGTGTTTTGCTGGACTCCACATGAGTTTGAGTAAATGCAGACATTTGTGTGAGTGTGTGTATGTGAGTGTAGATGTGGCAGAAAATTACAAAAGAAAAGGTTAATCGCGGTTAGTGAGTTAAGTGAGTTCCATGAACTCTTCTAAAAATAGTCAAGATTTCCTGAACAGCTTTTTCTATTCATGTTCTACACTCTGTTCATGTTCTATACAGGTTACAAATGTAAATAAATATGTAATAAATATGTATATAGGCCGACAAAAATGTAGTACTATAAATGTAATGATTTAAAAAGCTCTTTATGATGCAGTTAGGTTGTGACAGTAGCCACTGCTGCCTCATACATTTTACCATACTGTCTATGCACTTTACACAACACTAAGAGGGAGAATAGTCATCATGTTTTAAGCATTTCTACAGGCTCATAGTTCAAAATAGAGTAGTTTGAGTACACAGATATGTTTAGCCGAGTAGTTGATTTACTCGCTTTCCCTGCAGGAGAGCAAGGTTCAAGCCCAGTGCAGGGAAGCACTTGTTAGGCTTCTATCACTACGCTCCTGCTAATCTAATTTTATCACTGCATATGTGAGGGATTGGTTTGTCATTGTAGCCGTTAATGATGAGTTTATCACGATAAGGATAAAACTATTGTGACATCAGCAGAGAGTAAGACACAGGGGTGGCCATAATCTGCTGCAAGAAGTGCTCGTTAAGGATGGGCACATTGGTGTCAGAAGTAGGATAACGCCCCTAGCAGTCTGGGAAGAAACTTCCAGGTGAGCAGTGAGAGAGGCAGAGACTGGTGGAAGACCATGACAACGGGGACAAAACGGGGAGCCATGCCAGACAACAGCGTTGTCACCGTTGACACAGTCTTTCACCAGGCTCTGCTTTTCCCGCTGCTCACATGGAAGATTCTTGAAGCGCCACTTCTCTGCAAACCGCTGGGGTTGCCATCCCACATCTGACACCAGCTGCAGAAGGAGAAACACAGGGGAAGCCATGCGTCTGCTCTGAGTAAGCTCTTTATTCTACACTCAGTAGGAAAGACACATAGAGAACACCAAACTCATAGGAGAGGTCACCTCTAGCTACACACTTCTCCCTGATGGTGACCCCCCCCCACCCCTTATACAAAAACACCCACACAATAACTCCACTCCTCAACACAGAATATCACAAGAAACAACTACACATAGCTTAAACTAACAAACAACAATATACAACACAAATAGTCTCAAATATCCCTTTGCATACCATGAGTCTTTGCATGTGGCTGGCTGTGCCAGCCAGTGGCCGGTCGCTACAATATGATTTATTGGACAGCCCTATTTGGCATTAATATGTGAAGTAATTGCAAAATGGCAGGGTTCCCAAACTTTTGACAGGCAGGATATTTGTTGTAGGCCTATAGTTTGCTCATGGGGTTGTGATTTCCAGGTTCCTCAGAACACCTTTATGTAGGTTTGTTATAATAAACTAGGTGCAGGTTACAGTAATGTAATCACTCTAGTCCTCAGCAGCAGTGAACTTCCTGATTGGAATTAATTCTTGCTTCCTCAGCATGGTGGAGCCTGAGCCAGGGGCAGCACTTTCTGTAACGAGGAAGGGGGGAAAGAAAGGGAGGGTGGGAGAGCAGTTAATGTTTGTGTCATCTCCACTTCTCCTTCCCCTTGTTTCTCCACCTCTCACATTAAGCCAGTGTGCACTTCATGTTTTATACATTGAACCGAGCGCCAAGCTTAATGAGATAACATCACTGCTTAGTCAAGCATTTCCTGTTTGGCCCTCCTGTGGAACAATTCCTAATGGCGTCAATGTTAGCATCTTCGTGATAAGGTCACTTCTACTCTGTCAAAGGAAGACAGAGTGACAGGTGATAGCTCAGTCCGATATAAAGAAGAATGGATGTTTCACAACACTTCAAGATGAATGGATCCATTTCAGAACAGAATACTAAGCGGTGGTTCATTGTTTCCTCAATTGCTTGAAGATATTCATACTGTGATACAAACAGTCAAATGATAAATTCCTGCAATCTCTACAATCCACCAAATCAAGTTTATGATGACGTTTACTGCTTCTCATTCCAACAGCAAACTTAACATAATGTACCTTATTTACACACTTCATTAAAAATCATCTCCAATCGTTCTATGATTTATGGTAGTTCTTAGAATGGCTTTTTCCTTCCAAACTGTGTATATCATTTCACAAGGGTGGAAAGGAAGGTTTTACAATGGAGGGATTATAATATTTTTGAGTTTGCATCTCCTCTGTCACACATCTCACTGACATTCAGGTAAACATCAGAGATGTTTACTTTAACACATTAAAATCTGCTGCCAGAGTTAGGATGTGCCATCCACTTTGGGTGTAACAGTTCGTCTCAGTCCTCGGTCTCTGGGCTACGGTTTGGTTTATATTCAGCAGGGGAAACTGTAACCAACTTTGAACATAAATACATCACACTTATGTTTTATGCAAGTTGTGCAAATACAAACCTTTACAAATAATAATGAAATCAATTACTTTTAAAAGTTCCCCTTTCACAAAATTATTGCAAAACAAAAAGTAAAATAAACGTAAACATCAGCAAGTAAAACAAAACATCAAATGTAACCATCAAAAGGTAGAGCAATCGTACCAATCAGCGAGTATAAAAATGTAAATGTAAAAGCAAATTAAATGTAAAAATGAAGTGAAATAAATGTAACCATTGCTGTCAAGTTCCCTTTTTATCGAGACAGTAGCTGGTAGAACAACTGGAGATATCCAGCTATTCATCGTTATTGCAATGAATTGTGCCTCACTCAGCTCTTCACAAAGTTCTGCTTTTGTTTCTTTGTACGTCCTTGGCACCACGCATGAACCGAAATTCCTCATTCTCTCAGAATCCCTCAACCTCTACAATTTAAAAAGTGCTGCATATCTAATGCGATGAATCGACCTATTGTCTTAGTTATTGCAGGAGCACGGTCAGGGGTAAGGGAGAGTTTGGCACTGAACATTGCTGGAAGCGTTGGCTCTGCTGTCAATAGCCTGCGCACTCTGTGATCAAACATGGAGCAGCACACTCTCTTGGAGGGGGAAAAAAAAATCTGTGGTTCAGATCATGTGCACTATGAGCCAAAATTTTGGAAATACATTTTCAGAATATTAAAGTATCTGTACTCAGCTTGTGTTGCATATTGTAAAGGCAGTATTAAGTAAGAGTTACCATTTTAGAATACTTTTAGAATACCTAATCTCAGTGTTACTGAACTCTGCTAAAGCCTGAGTAGACTGATAAATCAGTGTGATGATCATCTCAGTGTTACTGAGCTCTTTTGAGGGATGAGTAGTGGATGTGTTCTCCTCAGAAGAAGGTGATGAGAGCAAGAAAAGTATTTTGGAACTTCACTCAAATGATAAGCAACATTTTGATGAAACATATTAACAGAAGAATCACATGAAAACTGCCAACCAGTAAAACTGAGGAAAAGTAAGTTAAGTAAACATTATAGCAGGAGAGTATTTTCTCCTCATGTGCCTCATCAAAATATGTTCTTAATGCATTTTTAATGTATTCTGAATATGTAACGTTTTATGTATTGTAATGGAGTACTTTTAGGACAGTGTATTCAGGATTCAGCCATGACTACGTTTTCAAAGTATTTTGCTCAACTCTGATCATGTGGAATTCGTGACACAAACAATGCAAAAATCTACAGATTTTCAGTTTTCCTATCATTTTTATCACATACATCAAAATAAAGGAGAAATTACACAGATACGTCACATTATTAAAGGAGAAAAGTTTATTAAAGGGTAGAAATTGCCTTCAGTAGGAGGGTGGAGGGTAAGTTCATCCATCTTGCTAAATAATCACAGTATAGCATCTTTATCGTTGAATGACAACATAAGCCAATGTGGCTGTGCCCATGACCAATAATTTGTTGTGTTAATGCCATTATTATTAGACTTGACTGACCTTTCAAACCGATATTTATTGTTCTGTGGATGAGAGAACATATAGGTGACGCTGGGTTACTGTGCTAAA